AATTGTCACTCTGTGCATACATTATTGATTTACATTAGTTAATTATTTTAAAAGTAAAAAAGTCTTTTTGATAATTGTAAAAACAAGCAAGTAAACAAATACTAACTGTCCATCTACTATATAATCGAGTGCGCGAATCACCATATAGTCCAGGGTTTACCTAAAAATAAACATATCAGATTTACATAAATAATTGGACAAAAATGTTGACTATTTCATATTGAGTTCAAAAGCATGCATAAAATTTTGAGTAACTTACAATCCATCCAACTCGTATCTGATTATCTCCATCCTCCACATACAAAGAACCCGAACTATATTGGTTATCCGCGTTTAGTTTTGGTTTCCATATAGTCATTGTAGCAATAGCACCAGTAAATCTTCCAGAAGCAGAATTTCTAACTAAAAGTCCCGCAAACTGAACAACAAAATCAACATTGTGCCTTACATCATTGTGACTTGGAGCAGCATATGAATGATTGTCTAACTTTTGGGGGGTGTATTGCGCTCTTTGCACATTTCGAACAATTTGTAATTGTTTTTTAGACATTTTACGAATAGGGACACTTCCAATAGGACATCCTTTCTTATTCAACCATAAGTCTTCAGGATTGAAACTATTATTTTTCTTAGCTATTGAACGTTGTTCCTCTGATGCAAGTTTAGCCTTTTGCCTCTCTAATTCCTTAGCAATTGTCATCTGTGTAACATTTTAGTAAAATTCCTTTTTGCCAAAAATCAAAACAAAAGTTTATATATAACAAATAAGATTTGAAACATGCATCTATCATACCTGAATTCTTTCTGTTGCCATTGTTGGATGGTCCATACCAGGTTGTTTATATATGTCCACACAATCATAAATATCACCATGAATGGTCTGTCATGTTTATAAATATAAATATGTCAAGTTGTAAATATAAGCAAATAACACTTATATATATATATATATATATATATATATATATATATATATATATATATAACAACAATATTTAAATTAAAAAAATATTTTAGACATGCTTAAAATTACCTTTAGATGAGTAATAATTATATTGAACCGTTCTTATATCCTTTCGCTTTTCCCCAACTATCAATATTATTGCCATAGCTAAGGTTGATAACAAAAGCAAAAAGAACAAAAAGAATTATGTTTGTTCTCAAAGCCATGAAGTACTAATGATTTCATAGGCTAGTGATCATATTTATAGATTAGAATTACTTAGCATAAAATAGGTAACAAATGAATTAATAAAAAAAATCATAAATTAATTTATAATATATGAATATTGATGCAAATATATATAAATGAATAAGGATAAAAATATTTTAGACATGCTTAAAATTACCTTTAGACGAGTAATAATTGAACTGTTATTATATCCTTTCACTTTTCCCCAACTATCAACATTATTGCTATAGCTAAGGTTGATAACAAAAGCAAAAAGAACAAAAAGAATTATGTTTGTTCTCAAAGCCATGAAGTACTAATGATTTCATAGGCTAGTGATCATATTTATAGATTAGAATTACTTAGCATAAAATAGGTAACAAATGAATTAAGAAAAAAAATCATAAATTAATTTATAATATATGAATATTGATGCAAATCTATATAAATGGATAAGGATATGATACTTACCTTTAATATATATATATATATATATATATATATATATATATATATATACCAAATATGTTTATATAATTAATATATGAATATTGATGCAACTCGATACAAATGGATATGGATAATTCTTACATTTAATATATACAAAATATTTTTATATAATAAATATATGAATATTAATGCAAATCGATATAAATGGATATGGATATGATCCTTACATTTAATATATATATCAAATATTTTTATATAATTAAAAATATTAATCTATCTATCTCTATTATAAAATAGCAATAAGAAAGAGTAAATGCTAAAGGCAAATAAATTCCCGCCTAAACTAATGGTGTGTTTAGACAATCGTTATACCCTACACCACGGAGCGCGTAGCACTGTGCGCCGCGCGGACTCTAAAATGACGTCGTTTTGGGAGGCGCGGTAGAAAATTGCTGTGATTATGTGTATTTGTTCACACAATTATGTGTATTTGTTAACACAATTATGTGTATTTGTTAACACAGTTATGTGTATTTGTTCATACAGTTACGTACATTTTTTATACAATTATGTACATTCTTTTTATACAATTATGTACATCCGAATAAGAAAATTTGTGTGTATTATGTTAAGAGTTGATGTGTATTATGTTAAAAGTTTATGTTTATTATGTATTATGTTATATTATGTGTATTATCTTTTAAAAAGAGTATGTATATTTTGTTATATAATTATATACATTCATGTATACAATTATATGTATTCTAGTATAACATTATGTACATTTTTAATTTGAACAACGGCAGTGCAACGCGTTTTGTATCTGGGCGCATAGTTTTGTATCTGGGCGCATAGTGCAACGCGTGCCATGGTGTAGGATATAAATTGCCCTAAAGTTGTACTGTTAGGCCAATTTGGAATAAATTAAGGAAAGGTCGTGGCAGGGTGTTCCTTTGTAAACTACCTTTCAGTTTCAGTGCGATCGATTACCTTAATTAGAGCAGCCATGACGGTCTCAATTCCATCACTTCTAAAGGTTGTATTATATATACATCCTTTATTTTTCATCTGTGTGCTAAGAGATAATTACTTGTAGTAGACTCTTGCATTGATACATATCGAGATCGAGTGTTTTCTTGTAATATTTGGATTTCTAGTTGTTTGTTATTACAGGTCCTGACTGACACTCATCCCAAAGTTCAATCAGCTGGACAGACAGTACTTCAGCAAGTGAAATAGCTCCTTGTATCCAAATTTCTATTAATTTTTTATTCTCTTCTTTGTTTTACAAAATTTGATATTTTGTTTCTTATATAATATAATAATGAATTCCGAGATATCTGCTCTTGTGCCTCCAGGTTTAGAGTTAGTTTTATTATTAATAGAATTAGCTTTACTCATTGTTATTGCAGGCATTTGAATTGGAGTAAGTTGGTGTCCAAAAAGTAAATTGGGGGTTACTTTCTTAATTACTAATATGGCGGCTTATTCAAGAATGAAGAAACTTCAGAGCATGGAGGCAGTATTCTTTTAAAGTAAAATAATTTGATTTAAAAAAAAACACTAGAATCCTTGAGAAGCCAACGGGCTTCTCCGTCCAAATCTGGACGTAGAACTTGTTGGCTTCGGAGAAGCTCGCTGGCTTCCTAAACAGAGAAGCCAGATTTGGACAGAGAAACTCGCTGGGCTTCTCAAATTGAGAAGCCATGACTTCTCTTCTCCGTATATGGAGAAGCTCGTTGGCTTCTCCATGAACGGAGAAGAGAAATCAAACAGACGAATATGGCCAGCGGTTTAAATACCGCGGACAACTATTTTTTAATGTGAGATATACTATATTAGAGATATAATGTGAGACTTCAATCAAACATTTTCATTGTCTATTTAAAGCATAAGGAGTCAATAAGTTTCTTATTGCTTTTTAATTATACAAGGGTTTTTCATAATTTTATAATTAAACTCAATGTACCTGGAACTATGGTTCTTTCTCATGATGTAATACATTATACATAGGAACTAAATCACAATGAAGCAGGCTAACAGAAAATCAATGTAGACTAAAGGCATTTCCAATGATGGAGATTAAAGGGGAAAAACATAGTTGTAATCTGGTATTTTAAGACTTATTGGTGAAGTTAGAGTATTTTGGAGTACATATATAATTATATATAGTTCGTTTGATGTATTTCGCAACTGTGTCTTAGTTCGTAATGTTATTGTATATATGCAGTTCGTATTTTGCCTCCTGGGTGTGCATATAGTTGTAGTACCATTGCTCATGATTAGTATTTGAGGCAAATACTTTTGTTTACAGTTAGTTTGTTACTTTGCCACCTTCTTATCATTTACTTTGGCTGAATATTCAAGATTTTTGCCTTTATTGAATAGTCTTAGGTTACTTTGTATGTCTATCAGTGCACAGTCATTTATCTTGATTCCATTACACTCTAAAATACCACCATATTCTCATTACATAGACCATTAGTTAATTATTTAAGATGATAGTCTTTACTCTGGTTGTAACCATCCTTAACCTAAACCCTAGATCAAGTTTATGACTTTGTGTATGCCTTCATTTCTTTGACATATGTTATGTTAGGTAAGTCCAATTCAGTTTAGAAGTGTTTCCCTTCTAATTTTTGTCCCTTAGGTTTGCAAAATCTTACATTTACAATTTTTCTTGGTCTGTTTGTTTTATTAGCCTCTTTGATGGTTGGTTGGTTGATTGAGGTGTGGAATTTCTTGTTTATATCATTTGTCCTCCAGATTTGCTCTTGATATCGACCTGGATGCTCCTAAAGTTAGAGTTCCTATGAGATCACGTCTCTTCTCTAAATGTGATAGCCATCTCCTTTTGGACTTTGGTCATTTTACTTTGCAAACTAAGGTGTGTTAATTTTATGAAATTCTTTTTTTTTTTTTTTTTTTTTTGAAAGGAATTTTATGAAATTCTAAGTTGGCTTTTTTGTATTGCATTACTGTTGCTTAAATGATTCTTCTTGGTTCTAGGAGGATGGCCAATCCCTAGACCAGGGACAAAGTTTGTATTCTCGTTTTTTTTTTTTTTTTTTTTTTTTTTTTTTTTTTTTAAATTTTATTTTTTTTAATCTCAGGAAGAGATATAGCAGCATTTTTTACAGATTGTGGTTCAGATAATCAGACCTTCTCTTTGGCATATCAACCTTCTGATTCCCCAAGTTTGAAGATGCCAATAATGTATATTTTCTTGTTGATAGATGTGGAATGGCTGTAAATCTGTAATTGTAGATGAGGTATGAGAGATAAAGTGTCTTTAAATTTTTTAAACACTGATCATATAATAACTACAATCCCCATTTTTCATGTTCTAAATTATGAACTTGGTGTTTCTTTTGATTAAAATTCCCCATCCCAGCCATCCTTCAACACGTGTCTCTGTTCAAGTTCCAACTATTGGAGTTCACTTTTCACCAGCCAGACTTTGCAGATTGATGGAATTGTTAAACATTCTCTCTCATACAATTCCAGATGCTGAACAGCTTCCTACTGTTGAAAATACTGAAGCTGAACTTTCTCCCTGGCATTCACCAGATCTAGCAACTGATTCTCGGATCCTTGTATGGAAGGTACGGAACTGCTCTGTAAATTGTGCCTTATTCAAATAATCATCTTGTCTTACAATAGGCCTTACATGTTCTTGAGTCAGGGGATTGGGTACTCTGTTGCTGCCTGGCAATAAAGTTATCTTGTGCTATCTGGATTGTATCTTTATGTCTTAGAGTCTGAGGGGTCCCGTAGTTACCAAAGATGCTCAAGGTACCCCATTTTAGTTTCAAGTGTTCTTATATTCCATTATTTAAAGTTCTCAAGGTATCCTTATGCCTGTTTTCTCCTCCTCCGAAGTTGAGCACTTCCTATTTCTGCTCTGGAAGTCTATCTTCTATTTAAGGTCATTGAGTTCATTCCACTTTTGTTTACACCACTATGGAGGCATTTTCACTTATACTTTTATTTCTTTATTTTTTGCTTTTAGTCATTGACAATAAAAAATGTTCCACTTTTAGTCTTAAATGCCCTAAAAGTGGAATAAACTACAAAGTCATTTGATACTTTTAGAGATAATTTTTTGTTTAGTCTTTTCATTCTCGTGATTTTAGTTGACTTTCAGTGGAAGTGTTATGAGAATTTAAATTCATATATTTCTAAAATGTTCAATACTACAGCATGGCTGGTAAACAAGTGCTTGAAGTTCCCCTGACAAATGTTGGGGGTTCCGCTTCCTGTATTGCTGTCAGTGCCAGAGGCATGGATCTACAGAAGGTAGGTGTATTTCATTATTTTCCTTTGTGCATTTATTCCCTGCTCTTATATAAATTTTGGAGCCTAATTTGTTCTATTTGATATTATAAATGTTGAAAGTTTTACAATAACATATTGCTTGACACGTGCATTAATACTGTATTTACAATGTTGTCCAAGGATTTATATCATTGACTGAACATTGTGAGGTTGATTTATATTCCACTTGCTTCCTTTTGTTACTTGACTCCCGTTTCATCCATCTTTATAAGTCAAAAACACATTCTTGCATGCATTTAGTTAGCTAATTTGAAAAGTTTAGGTCCTTTCTTCAATAAATAATTATTTTTGAGTAAAGAAATGTGATTTCTGCAGTATCTGAGCCATGTCTTTGCTTCTCTCTCTTTTAGGGTTTAATTTGATGTTCATTTTCCATTGTTCTTTTACAGGCCTTGGAGTCATTTAGCACACTGATAATAGAGTTTCATGATGAAGAGGAGAAAACTACTTGGTTGAGAACACTTGTACAAGCTACCTATCGAGCTTCTGTATGATATAAGTTCATAATGAATACTCTCTCTATCGCATTTTACCTGTCATGTTTATTATTCACGGGTCAATCCAACTCTAATACGAAAAATTGAATTGTAAATAACTTTAGTCAAGCCACGTTAATCGAACCAAAAACATAAAATGGGACGAAGGGAGTATGTTTCTTATTTTTCTTTTCATATTCCTTACCTTTATTTCGTTTAGCATTGGAATGCTCCTTATGTTGGATGTGTTTGGATATAGGCTCCTCCATCAGTTAGTATACTTGGAGAACTAAATGATGATGCATTAGAACTTGCTGAGGCTCGTGCTATAAATACAAAGATGGCTGAACTTGTTGTTAATGAAACATTGGTAGAGATGAAGCTATCATTATATGGGAAGGTGAGGTGGCTCAGTAATTTTTTTGTTTTTTGTTTTTTTGTTTTTTTTAATGCTTTTTTCATCTAAAATCAGTTAATAATGCAGGTTCATGCAACTTGATATTGGCCATCTTCAAATTGAAAATGAAGTTAGCTGGATTGGATCTCCTGAAAAAGATCCTTCTGCAGTCCATGTTGATGTTCTTGATGCTGAGGTATTTACTTTTGTTGTTTATAATTAAAAAATAGGGCTTGACTGCAGCTATTCTTTTATGTGTTGCAAATTGCAGATTCTAGGTATTAATATGGCTGTTGGAATTAATGGATGTATGTATTGGCAAACCAATGATACGTGAAGGCAGAGACATTCATGTTTATGTGCGCCGCAGTCTACAGGATGTGTTCCGAAAGGTCCCTACATTTGCATTTGATGTTAAGGTTGGTCGTTTCATCCAATGTTTCCCTCTATCAATAATTTTAAATTTCAGTAAACCTGTTTTTATTTATTTTTGAAAATTTCCCGTTATCTGGTTTTCGTGATTTCAATTGCCTGTTTGTGCATAAAATCCCATATATTGCTGTGTGTAGCACAGCTAAGTTATGCAAATGATTCAGCTATACTTAGAAGGATTTGGGTTATTATCATGTTAACTTTTACTTGCAAAAAGATTAGCAACGTGGTGTTGACTAAGCATGTTAGTTAAGCATGGTTAGTATATGTTTGGCATGTTCTTTAATTCGTCTTTTGTGTTGCACTTTTATACATGCCAAACTGATAGTGTCTAGACACTTCCTACACAAGTATGTTTTCTTGTTATATTCTTGAGGTGACTACAATAGGTTATGATAAAGGCTAAGGTTTGATGCCATTGAAATGCGCAGTTGCTTAAACCTCTCCCTTTTTGGTAAATTTACTATTACAATGTCATATAACGTTTCTCATTTTCTTTATTAATTTAAAATTTTGGCTGTGCTAATGTGTCATAAACAAGTGTTGCACTAAGAATTAAATGTTAGCAGTAGGGCGTGTCTGTATGTATAAATTATGATTGTTCTTTCTGAAACAGATTGGCTTGCTACATGCGGTGATGTCAGATAAGGAATACAATGTTATTCTAGATTGTATCTCCACCTGTTTTCTGTAGCAACAAATCTACTCCAAAAGATAGAATACGGTTGCTAGCTGATAAAGTGAACATGAATAGTCAAATACTCCTGTCACGGACAGTTACTATAATGGCTGTTGAAGTGGGTTATGCCTTGCTGGAGTTATGCAATGGCGTCCATGAGGAATCACATTTAGCTCATGTTGCTGTGAGTATGCATCTTGTTTTGTATGTGGTTTATAGTTGATAGTTCTGAGCATGTCAATCCAAGGAGTTATTGCAGTTACAGTTCGATTCTTAGCAAGTTTCAGTGTATCTTTTCTTTTAAAAGTATCTTGTCTGGTGTTATATGCTTCTTCTATCTCATTTTAATAGTTCATTTCAAAATATTGTCCACTTTCCTAATTTGAACATCACTAGTTTTTTAGTTTTCCCAATTTACCCTTTAATAAAAAGATTAGAGGGGCAAAATTAAATGGAAGTGGCCGGCATTTTATATATTTTCTTAAAAACCATGTCAAGCACATATAAGACTTTTCTGATGTAATTGCTTATTGCAGCTTGAAGGTCTTTGGGTGTCATACCGCATGACTTCTTTGTCTGAAGCCTGATCTTTATGTTACAATCCCCATGTTCTCTATTTTAGATATTCGCCCTATTTGTTTCAGAGTTGCATGCAAGCTATATAATGTTGTTTGCTTTCAATGTTTGAGCTTATTGAGCTTCTACTTACTATTGGCACAATGTTTGTGATTTATTTGGGGATTGCCATTTGTGTAAACTTCAATCTTTCATTTCCTAGCATATGTGGTAAATGTTGGTATTTGTGTAATTATATTCTTTTTTCTCTCCACTTAGCATTTATACTTTGTTTACACTGGGAATCTATGTGGCACACATATTACAAATTAAATTCTCATAAATATGTTTTTTTTTTTTTTTTTGTTTTTGAGCAGGTATGCTGCAAAAGAAAATGATAGATGGATTCGGGGTCTCTTGAAGTATCTCACTGTTGAGGCTGGTTCTGGGCTTATCATTCTTGATCCAGTGGACATTTCTGGTGGATATACCTCTTACAAGGACAAGACAAATATATCTCTAATCTCCACAGATATATATATATATATATATATATATATATCTCTAGGTGTTATCTCCCTTTTACTCAATTTGCAAATTCAGTTAGCAACAACACTACAATTTGGAAATGCCGATCCTCTTTCCCCTTGTGCTCATTTTGATCGCATTTGGGCGACTCCTGAAGTTTTTTTTTTTTTTTTTTTTTTTGGGAAAGTGTTCTCCTTGATCATGTTTTAACCATCATCACGTGCACTATATGTGTATGTTTGATTGTGTTACATGCTTGCAGAAAATGGGCTCCTTAACAATATTACGTTTTGGAGGCCTAGAGCTCTTCAAAACTATGTCATCCTGGGAGACTGTGTTACCTCAAGGTAATGAGAACCAGTAAATCTGCATTTGCCTCTCCTCCTCTGAATCTCTGATAATGCAATTCTTTTTTATATCTGAATTCTTTCTCAAATAGAAATCTGTTACTAGTCTACTACATCTTTTGTGTGTCTTGTTTGAGTTGTCCAAATTTTACAATTGTCCTTAAGAATGTATATCATATGGCGTTTGAATAATGCTCTTGGGTCATTTTATGCACATCCATCTACTGAATATCCTCCAAAAGACACTTGTTTTGATCTGAATCATCTTCTCCTTTGGAACTCAAGTTGGTACAATTCTTCCTCAATACATCCTTCCCCTGATCTTACTTTTGAGCATGAGCGCGTGTAACCAAATGCAACATCAGGATGGGATATCATCAGATCAATTTCTAAAGCAACCTCTTATTATATATCAACTCCAAATTTTGAGAGAATCTGGTAGTGATCTTCGACGGCCAGTTTCCATATAACGCATCCAGGTTACTCAGTGCTGGGTGACTGCATAACTGAGGGGTAGCACTCTGTTAATTAATCATCTTTCAGTATAGTGTTCCCTTATTTAATCTTTATCTTAAGTATTCACATGTGACATCTCACTTTTGCTACAGCCTAGAGCCTCCTCCCTTGGGTATGATATTTAAGGCTGACAATCCTGAAATTTCATCAAATCCTGTGCAATTTACAAAGGTGGCCCATATTGCGGTAAAAGGTCTGGAAGAAGCTTTCTTTTGGTATCCAGTTGCTCCTCCTGGTTATGCATGCTACCTTAGGGTGTGTAGTGACACGACATGATGAAGCACCTCCTTTAGAATATCTTTCTGCTGTCCAAGGATGGATCTTGTGAGTGGATCTAATATTGTTGAGATTCCTATCTCAAGATCATCAAGCTCCAAGGTTTCTCAATGTTGGAAAGTTGAGAATCAGGTAACACTTAGAGATCGAAGTTGAGTGATCTTATTGAATGTCTGCTCTTTTTGGCCTCTTGAAACTATTTATTTCCCTTTAGTTCTTACTTCTCTAATTGGTGCACATTTCTTGCTCGACCTGAGCTGAAAAAGCCTTCAACTTATGTTGAATTGGTGATTCAGTGATGCCCAAAACAAGAGACAATGTGACAGCTGAGATGATGTTTTTCTATTACCTTTTTGGACAGCTTATGTGGAATGGTTTTGAAGTTTGCCTATTTTTAATCCATTTTGTGTTGTGTTATATATCCAAGTGGTTTGTGTTATTGCCCCCAGATGACACCACTTTTTGATGTGACAATCACAAATCTCAAACTTGCAACACATGGTTGGATGGACACAATGAATGCTGCACGCATCAACTTTCAACACACATCTAGAGCCATTTGAAGGATTCTATCTATCTTTAGCTGGATTCTTTTTATCATTTCTCCAATTTTAATTTGTTCCAATTCCAGTAATATTGTTTTGCCTTTTGCAGATTTGAGACGTATGAAACAAATTAAATCTTCATTCATCATCAAATCTTGGCAAAAGACTGTCGATTCTTGGAGGGAACTTGAACAAAAAGCCATCAAGTCATGATAGATAGATTATGATTCAAACCTTTCGTTCTTGTGTTGGTTTATTTAATTCAATTAAAAAACATTGCTGTTTAGCTCTTGGTGATGACACAGATCAGATCATCAAAGTAAAACTTTTTGAGCATGGGATGAGTAGAAAATAAACTTGGATGTGATATATATTTGAAAAAAGTGGAAGAGCACTCAGATGCAGTTGAATTACTACCTCAGCTCCAAGGTTTTCTGATAGATGAAATTATATGTAGTTCCAGTTTTAGTATTGTTTAAGCATGTGAATGTGAATTTAAGGCCAAGCTTTTATGGTCTAGATTAGTGTACGTCTTAGCTTGTTTGGATCTAATGTCTTTGTGAATTCTTGTTCAAGTAAATATGCATCCAAATTCTGATACTACTCTATTAGATATGATGTACATAAACCACAAAATGGACTGCATTAGCTCTCTATCTTCAGCTAATTATATTGTTTTTTGTTTTGCTGATCGAGTCATACTCATACATGGTAAAATGTACCTTGATCTTTTTAGGTCTTAATTTTCTAGTCTGTAGGGTGCATTTCCACCATATATGAAATGTTTTTTTAATTGTCCACCCAAGGCCAGGAAAGAAGTACGGAGTATTTTTTAAGTAATTAGAGCTTTACCGTACCATATATGTGAGTCTGATACTGATTGTATTATTTGAACGGTGTTATTGAACGTGACATGGGAGGGACAACTGCTGCTCCCAAGTCCAAAACCATAAAAAGGTGTCTTTGGCATATCGAGTTGTTCTTTAATTTATGTTTCCTTTTCACATTTTAACCTACAACTTTGGGATTCACCTAATAAATTGGTATTTTAATAACCCAATGATTTTAAAATCGGCTAAGATATTTTTTATATTGGAGGATTAGAAGATATGTAACCAACTGTTAATAAGAATTATACATTTCTAAATATTCAAATTTCATTGCATATATATATTTTTTAAGTACTTTAAAAATGAATTAAAGTACAGTGTGATATTTATTTTCATGAATAAAACAAAGTTGTTTCAGCCTATTAATTTGTTAATCATGAAGAAGAAGAAGAAGAAGAAAGAAAGAATGGCTAGATTAAATCATAAACTTAAGATATTTTTAAGATAAAAACAAATTTACAAACAAGAACATGTTAAAACTCTTTGCAATTACATCTTGCATACTGCAACATTTCTTTAGGTTAACAAGAGCAAGCAAAGAATCACTTGAACAACAAAAACTAATTAACATAAAACTTTTACTAAAAGCATATCATGAGGGAGTGAAAAACATAAGCAAATGAAAGATTTACACCCCTACTCACATTCTAGTACCAACAACGCTTGCCTACAAGAGGATTATAGCAATTCAAGCATTCTTTTGCTATGCTTTCCTTCACTTCAAACCTCAGTTCTTCACACTTCCCCCAGATAGGGTATTTTTCATCCAACCCTCCAAATACCCGAAGAACTTTTGAAGCATTTGTGCGTGGGTGTACAATTCCACGAAACTCTAGGTTGAAAGGCTTGAGTTTGTAATTTTGAGTGATTAAGGATGAGAAATCGACACAAATCACTGTCTTGTTTGTTGGGCCTTGATGGAAAGGATGAATTTTTGCAACTGCAAAAACTTCATTGACTAGATCGCCCTGGGCTTCATGGTAGGCCAGAACCTCGAAACCACCTTTATATGAGTAGGATGTATGCTTGTTGTCGTTGTAGATTGTGAAGTTCATGCTCCAAGACGAGGAGCTGTTCATCACAACCAGTTGGTTGACGGCAAAATCTGGGACATTGGTGGTATATTTTGAGACTATGGCGGTGAAGATGATGACAACGGCAATAACTCCAAAAATGGTAGTCAAAGTGACTATCACGCAACAAAGTGCCCAATCAAACCTGATAGTATCCATAGGCACAGAAGCGGAGAAGAAGAAGAAGAAATTGTGTAATGAACTTAGAATGAAAGCAGCAGGGGAAAGGGAAGGATATATAGACTTGTAGAACTGTAAGGGGAGGGAAGAAGAAATCGGAATTTGCAAAGGGGGAGGAGAAGTGCAGAGAGAGAGGGAGGGAGGGAAGGATAGAGCACAACTGCAAGGGGAGGGAAGAGAAATCGGAATTTGCAGAAAGAGAGAGGGAGAGATTGATGCCTTGAAAGTGTTATCTAGTTTCTATCATCTTTATTATTGTTCTTTATAGTAAAAAATATCACGAGTGGAAGCCGGAAGGTAGAGGACTAGAGGCCCCATAAATCATCTTTATTATTGTTCATACCAGAAAAAAAATATCCAATATTTTTTTCAATCCACATTTAATTCGCAACACACTTAATCTAATAAAAAAATATTAAATGAATACCCACGATTTGTTCTCACGTTCTCACCTAAACAAATGTTCTCATTGAAACCCTACTCTATATATATATATATATATATATATATATACATCTCTCTCATCTGTACACGATCACCGGTGTTGTGTTTACAAAATTATATACCCTATTTGTAACTTTGCTTTGTTGTGAGATGTGACTGGAGTGCAATGCATCATTGAATATAATTGGTTTGTTTTATAAAGAGAGTGAAGGACAAAGAATAAGGTGTTATACTAGCACAAAAGTGGGGTGATGACAAAAATGGATAGGTAGTAATGATTTATGAAGAAAGAGCTAATTTAGGAATATCATATTACACTAACATATCTTAAGAATTCATTTTCATGCATTGATATTGATGGAGAGAAGAAAATATGGTCTGTGGGGAGGTGGAGTGTAGTCACTAGTCACTAATCATTGTATCAGCATCCATACTAATTAATTCACCAAACACTGCATTAATTAAATCAACCTTCAACCAACATATACTATAGTATACTCCCTATATCATTAAAATAGAATATGTATTTAAAATTACATTAAAAACATTACAAATGTGGAGTTGACAATATATATATATATATATATATATATATATATATATATATATAATTTTGCAAGATATTTTGTTAATCAAATACGGAGTAATTTTAAAATTATTGTACGAATATATATATAGTACAATACAACATCTCAACCTGCATTCCTTTTATTAATTAAACACCCTTCTTATTTAATTTAATTTTTTTTTTGTTGTTTTTTTTTTTGTTGTTTTTTTTTATAGCGGGCTAAGTTTCTATGATTCGTTAGATTGTATTATAAACCACATGAACTCACTTTTTAAACTCATGAGTGTTTATAAACGGCAAATTATTCAACACAATGTTATGTGAACTATAACAAAAAGTACATTTTTAATATACTATATAATGTACTCTCAGTACAAAAATAATGTACATCCTCTGAATACAATGTACATTATTTTTGTACTGAATGTACATTATTTTACAATATACAAAATACGACCCACACAACTTGTGTGGACCATGGTCCACACAATAATAATTGTTTATAAATATATGACTTTCAATTTGCAATGATTTTAAAAGCTTAAACTTGTTCTATTATAAAGTTGAAGCAAAAATTTGTGTGAGACCATCTTATGGGTCAAATCTTTGATTAATGAGATCAATCATCCAACCAATTAATCAAATATTCAACCCGGTTCACACATTAATCGAGACATGTGAGACGATCTCACACAAATGTTACCTTAAAGTTTTTATTCTATATACACATGATTTGTTAAAGTACTTATGTATTTTATTAAAGTACTTTCAATTATGGGTCGACGTTTAGTTATTTGATTTAATCATTTAATTTGCAAGTAGTTTCATAATATGCTTGAATAATTAAAGTATTTTCTATTATAGGTTGAACCTTAAGAATTTGATTTAACCATTTAAATAACAAATTTCAACTTACTCTTGAAAATAAGCTAGCTAGTTAAAAGGGTGAGAAATATTGGCTTGGTTAGCATCGACAATTATTTACGCAACATGTATAAAACGGAAAATTTTGTTTTTACTTGGACATATGACATGTTACACCTCTTTCCATTCTTTGACCTAAACATCTTTATTTTTGGTACGATTTTGTGTGCCCAACGAATAGGAACGAAAATTAAAATAATTGGTAGTGTTTAGTTAACAAATTTTTAAAATATAATTATATGATTGATTATTTTTTAATTAAAAACTTAATTCTTTAATTTAAAAATTAAAGGTATAATTTCATCTTATTTGATATAATTTTTAAATTTAAATTAGTATTTTTATATTTTTAATTAATAAGGTTAATGATCAGACCCATTAATCAAATATTTAATTCATTAATTAAAGATTTGACTCTGATCCTCTTCATATCTGTATACACATTATTTATTATATGTAGTACAATCAATTATGTTGAGACTATCTTAATTTCCACATTAATTATACATATATGGTTGGTGTATGTGGATTTGAAATTAAATTATTTTTTATTTTTGAATGTAGAATGCTAAAAGAGTGGACAACTAGTTTTAATTAGGGTGTTGCTATTTGCACCACCCTTTGGTCAAAAGTAGGTATAAAGTATCTTGAAATTGTAAAAAGGTGAAAATTTTCAATAATTACATAGGTGGTGTAAATAGCTAAATGAGTATTCATTTTGCTATTTACACCACCTTGGTCAAACCTCATTTATGAGGTGTAATTAATAATTTTTTAATTTAAAATTTAATTAAAAGAAAATGATACTTTTTTCCCCTAAGTTATATACTTATAGTACTGTTTACCCCTGAATTATTCATGTTAGCATATTAGCCCCTCAACTATTCTAAAAGTGACAAATTATTGTTAATATGTACGGATGATTATGGTTCGAAACAATTTTTTATTTTATTGCCAATTCAAAATTTATTTATTTATTTATTTATTATAAATTCTATTTCTTATTTTTAAAATAATATAAATTCAATAGTTATTTTATTTTATTTTATTTCATTTTTTCGGTTCTGAATCGTAAGTATAAGAAAATAAAGTTGTGTTGTGCCTTCACAATTAGTTAGATTTGTTCTATATTTTCTTAAACATTTTTAACCCTAAGAATCTAAGCTCTACTCCCAAGGTTCGGACCTATGACCATTTATTTGAAATGGTAATTGAAATGTCATCATATTACATGATAGTTGGCTTAATCATATTATATATAATTAGTATTGTCCCGTGCGATGCACGAACTAAATATTAAAAATTTATTTGTAATGTTAGAATAGGTAAAAAAATGTTTTTAATAATGGTATTTGAAGTACAGAATAAGAAAACATGAACCACAATTTAATTGTTTAAAATTACATTTTTATTAAGTATATGACAAAATAATTATGATATTGTATTTACAATATTTAATTTAATAATTGAAAATAGTATGAAAAAAGTTACTATATATTATTAATCGCAACTAGCGGTATACATATTTAATCTTGAGTATGTTTACTCC